TTTTGCGCAAAAACAGGCTTCCGGGTAGGATTTGGGCTTCCCATGTTTCATCGAAATGTAGAGCTGTGTGTCGTCCGCATTGCAATGAAAGTTAACATTTTGTTTCCGAATGACATCACCAAGAGGTAGAATATATAGTGAAAACAATAGTGGTCCTAAAACGGAACCTTGAGGAACACCGAAACTTAGAATTGATTTGTCAGAGGACAAACCATCCACAGAGACGAACTGATATATTTCCGACAGATAAGATCTAAACCAGGCAAGAACTTGTCCGTGTCGACCAATTAGGGTTTCCAATCTCTCCAAAAGAATGTGGTGATCGATGGTGTCAAAAGCAGCACTAAGGTCTAGGAGCATGAGGACAGATGCAGAGCCTTGGTCTGACGCCATTAAAAGGTCATTTACCACCTTCACGAGTGCAGTCTCAGTGCTATGATGGGGTCTAAATCCAGAATGAAGCGTTTCGTGTACATTTTTTGTCTTCAGGAAGGAAGTGAGTTACTGCACAACAGCTTTTTTCAAAAGAATTTGAGAGGATTTTTTTTATATTTCCTGGGTCAAAGTTAGGCTTTTTCAAGAGAGGCTTTATTACTGCCACTTTTAGTGAGTTTGGTACAGATTCGGTGGATAGGGAGCCATTTATTATGTTCAACATAGGAGGGCCAAGCACAGGAAGTAGCTCTTTCAGTAGTTTAGTTGGAATAGGGTCCAGTAGGCAGCTTGAAGGTTTAGAGGCCATGACTATTTTCGTGAATGTGTCAAGAGATATACTTGAGTGTCTCCGTTGATCCTAGGTCCTGGCAGTTTTGTGCTGACTCAGGACAGCTGAGCTTTGGAGAAATACGCAGATTCAAAGAGGAGTCCGTAATTTGCTTTCTAATGATCGTGATCTTTTCATCAAAGAAGTTCATGAATTCATCACTGCTGAAGGGAAAGTCATCCTCTCTTGGGGAATGCTGCTTGGAAAAATAGTATGATCGAGCAGCAGTGAGGGCTCTTCGATATTGCTCTGTACTGTCTTTCCAAGCTAGTAGGAAGTCTTCCAGTTTGGTGGAGCACCATTTCCATTCCAATTTTCTGGAAGCTTCCTTCAGGGCTCGGGGTATTTTCTGTATACCAGGGAGCTAGTTTCTTGTGACAAATGTTTTTTGTTTTTAGGGCTGCGACTGCATCTAGGGTATTACGCAAGGTTAAATTTAGATCCTCAGTTAGGTGGTTAACTGATTTTTGTTCTCTGACGTCCTTGGGTAGGTGGAGGGAGGCTGGAAGGGCATCTAGGAATCTTTGGGTTGTCTGAGAATTTATAGCACAGCTTTTGATGGTCCTTGGTTGGGGTCTGAGCAGATTATTTGTTGCGATTGCAAACGTAATAACATGGTGGTCTGATAGTCCAGGGTAATGAGGAAAAACGTTTAGATCCACAATATTTATTCCACGGGACAAAACTAGATCCAGGTTATGACTGTGGCAATGAGTAGGTCTGGAGACATGTTGGACAAAGCTCACTGAGTTGATGATGGCTCCGAAAGCCTTTTGGAGTGGGTCTATGGACTTTTCCATGTGAATATTAAAGTCACCAAAAATTTGAATTTTATCTGCCATGACTACAAGGTCCGATAGGGAACTCAGTGAGGAACTCTGTATACGGCCCAGGAGGCCTGTAAACAGTAGCTATAAAAAGTGATTGAGTAGGCTGCATAGATTTCATGACTAGAAGCTCAAAGACGAAAACGCAGTCATTTTTGGGGGGTAAAATGCGTAAATGTTAACAACACCTCCGCCTTTGCGGGATGCGAGGGGGATATGGTCACTAGTGTAACCAGGAGGAGAGGCCTCATTTGACACAGTAAATTCATCAGGCTTAAGCCATGATACATTTTGTATGCCTTCTCAAACAGCTATATGCATTCACACATCATGTCTTCTCTTGAGTTGGACTCGGGGATGGAACAACTGTTGATCATCTGAGCTTGTTTTTGGGGGAGTATGTTTGTCTCCCACATCTGTTGCTAATTGATTGGTAATGATGTTAGGCACAATATAGGATAATTGTTTGCCAAAAATTTAATTTTTATAATGCCATTCCTGGTTATAGGTAACAATCCTTCGTATGAACTGCGTACATTATTGCGTATGTAAAGGATGGGTCCCAATCTCTCAAAGGCCCTAGGATACAGGTGGACAGTCTGCCAGTCGCTTGGGACGGGGGGAGGTTTTAACGGGTGGAATAGTGGACAACAATTGGAGGTTTACTCAGTAGCAGTGAAAATATCATGGTACACCTCTATG